TCCCACCTGGAGCTTGACCACCCTACCTGTGTGTGGAGGCCATGTCTTGCATAAAGAGGCATGGCAACACATGCTCTCATGCTCATAACCCACCCACCCCCCAGCTTTCCTATCGTATTTTTATTTCTCCGTCCCACCACAGAACTTAAGGCAGTTTATATGGATTCCTAGGCAATCCTCCCATTCCGGGCAGCAAGCTAGGGATGCCGGCCTCCAGGTGGGACCTGGGGATCCCGCAGAATTACAGGTCACCTTCCGGCTACAGAGATCAGTTCCCCTGGAGAAAATGGATGCTTTGGAGGGTGGACTCTGTGGCACTGTACCCCCCAATGAGGTTGTAATGTATTGGAAATTGCTTACATGAATCCCCTCATTCACTCCCCATGCAAAGCTTGAGCCGGATGAAGGCTCCACTGAACTGCATTGCCATTGGTCGCCCTCTAACAGTGACCAATCAGAAACTGTACAGGCTTCAGAGAGGGAAAGACTCTCATTGGTCTAACTACACAATCTTATTGGTTGTTATCTGTAAATAGGTGTGGCTATGTTAGCCCGGGAATGTTTAAAAGGAGCCTAGCTCCCAATGTTAAACTGTTCTGGTTATGAATGCGTTTGAGTGGTTGTTCGTTACTTCATTAAAGCTGAATCACTTTGCTGAAATCACTCTTGAGTCTTTGTTAGCGGCGATCTAACAGAGGTCCCTGTCCTCCCCAGGCTCTGTCCCCAAATCTCCAGGAGTTTCCCAACTGGAACTGGTCATCCTAACCCCTCTCCATCCCCTGCCAGTGGCCTGGGAGGACCTGGCAACCCTAAAGCGAGCGGACTTCGCTTCAGCAAGGGTGCTGGACCACACACCATCCAACCACACTCTGCGGGTATTTCACCAGCTATGAAGAAACTGGCAGAGTTCGGAAGAGGGCTTTGACTCCTAAGAAAACTGGCCCGCAAGCTCCTTGGTGTACTGGCCTTCTCCCTTTCCAGACCTGAGATCTGCCATGCCTGAGACTCTGCAAGCATGTGGCAGGAAGAAGAACAGTTGGATTTATACCCCACCCTTCACTCAGAGTCTCACAACAGACACCCTGTGAGGTAGGTGGGGATGAGAGAGCTCTGAGAGAACTGTGACTGACCCAAGGCCACCCATCTGCCTGCAAGTGAAGGAGTGGGGACTCAAACACGGCACTCCAGATTAGAGTCCACCATTCTTAACCAAACTGGAAGTTACATGATGGCAGAATCACGTATAAGGAAAAAGAGGAGCCAGAGTTATGACGTGTGTCAAGGCCAGGACCTGGGTTGTCAACAGACCAACAGGAAATGCAATCCAAGCATCACCAAGTGTGAGCACAAGTGTGTGTAGTGGTTAATATCGGCAGATTCCAATCTGGGGGAACTGGGTTCAATTCCCCACTCCTCCACTTGAAGCCAGCTGGGTGGCCTCGGGTCAGTCAGTCCTCTCAGCCCAAAAAATAATCCTAGCTCACCAGACAATCTTTGCATCTCCTGGCTATACTACACCCACTGCCATATGATAATTAATTAAGCAGCAATCGTACCACAGCAAAGAAAAGGCCAGGGGTAGTCAGAGCCATAGAGGAATCCTACGTCTATATGGACTCACCTGTCAACCTTCGACAGCTTTTCTCAGTATGCAAGCAAAGATGAGCACGATCTGTGGCCCCCCGAGTCAAGGAGCCTCAACATGGCGCCCATGTGCACCATGGTTCCAGCTGACAGTATTCCTGGCCAGTGTTCCCTCTAAGCTGAGTTAGTGTGAGCTAGCTCACAGTTTTTTAGCTTCCAGCTCACATATTTTTGTCTTAGCTCAGGAAGGATGGCTCCACAGCAAACTAATATATGCAGTAGCCAAATCACTTGCTCACAACTTTAATGCCAGTAGCTCACAAAGAAGAATTTTCGCTCACAGGACTCCACAGCATAGAGGGAACATTGTTCCTGGGGCCCACCAAGTGTTTTCAGAAAATGGGTGGAGCCAGGTGGGGCTTTTGCCCAGCAAGGCTTCTGATTGGCTATGCAATTTTTTAAAAAATGTTGCTTTGGCAGTAGCTGCCACCACAGCACAAGGATCTTCACTGTGTAACTAAAGCAAGCTGTGGCAGCCTTTTTGTATCTTGCGTCACCTTCTGTGGCAGCTGTTTTGTGACCAGACCCACCATGCTGCATCAGAATTCCAAAGGTGCCCACAAGCTTTAAGACTGGGTGGGGACCCTAGCCCACAGCAGGAAAAAAAGAAGTCTGCTCTATAGAGATGTGGAACCAACCTGAGGGAATCCAAAGCTCCCTCTAAGCTGTGGAGTCCTGTGTAGAAAACTAATAAAATTTATATTACAAAATTCTACTTTGTAAGCTACTGGCATTAAAGTTGTGAGCAGGTGTTCTGGTTACTACATAGTTTGCTCTGGAGCCACCCTTCCTGAGCTAAGACAAAAATGTGTGAGCCAGAGGCTAAAAAACTGTGAGCTAGCTCACACTAACTCAGCTTAGAGGAACACTGTGAGGGACTGGCTTAATGTCTTTTTTGGAAAATGCTTCTTCTCTGTCCCTTTATTACAGGTTTACACAGCCTTTTCGTGGGTGGTTTACTTTCTCTTTTATCACCCCAGGAGCAGTTCGTTCCCAAGAGCACACAAACAGATTTTTACGAACAGGTTAATCTACAATGTTAATGCTGCTGGCAAAGAGGAAACCAAGATGCGAATGTCTTCCCCGAGATAAGTCTCAAGGCAGGGATCTGAGCAAGTGTGGGAAATACACCGACTATCCTAATCGGGTAACATATAAACTGGTCTGTGCTGGTTAGGAAACGTTTGCCAGCTCAGTTGCCCCGTGGAAAGCACCCTTGTGGTGGATGCAGAAGGGCGACCCAAAGCAAGAGAGGAAAAGGTTCCCATGACCCTAAAGTGACGGGAAAAAATGGCTTTTTTGTGCTCAGTTTCATACAGGTTTTACATCCAGGTTTAAGCACATTCTGCAGCTCCACACAAGCCACAAGATCAGCTATTGCCAGCATCCTGAAGACTGCAGAACTAATCTATTTTAAAAAAACAAAACATCTCTGCTCCTCAGACCGGCAACATATATGAGGTTAGAAAGGGGCTGAATAGCGGCAAGGGACCAGGTACGTAGTCGAGTACACATTTGCTCACTGTTCATTTTGAACTGTCCACCAGTTTTTAAGCGGAGAGGCTGTGGCTCAGCAGTAGAGCGTCCATGATGTACACAGAAGGTGCGTACATAGTTTAGTCCCTGGCATCTCCAGCCCAGGGCTCTTGGGTAGTAAGTATGGGGGGGGGGGGGCTCTGTTTGCCTGAGAACCTGGAGCATCAGAAGAGACAATACCAAAGTTAGCTGGACCAATGACACTTTACCCATTTCACAGAGAGGAGAGGAGGGGGTGAAATGCCCCTTCCTTTGGCCTGTATTTTGCATGAACAGAAACAAAGTTCTATGAATAGAAACATAGTTTCAGAGGCTTAGTCGGACTGGTCTGCAGTAGCCTAATGAAGACAGCTGCTTCATATGTGGTCAGTCTTACGCCTTATTTTGAAGAAAGCTGCACCCTGTTCTCCAGGATTACATCCAAGTAAACATGCATAGGACAAGCTTGTTATTGCCTATAAGCAATGACAAGCAACTAAGCAACAGCCGTTTTTTCTGAGAGGCATTAAGCTTATTAGCTGCTGCCAGAGAGCCCTCTAGTGTTACTGTCATGGGTGTCCCCATATTCCTGAATGCGCACTTCTGTTTTGCTGCCAAGATATAGCATTTTTACTCAACCGTTCTATCAAAACAACATGAACAAGATTGGCTATTTGTAGCTTGATTCTTCCAGGCTAATTCCCCAGAGGAGTTATTAATGTTGGAAGAAGTGGGCCACCAACTGTTACAAATTCCTCTCCAGATCCGGAGGACAGGGGAAGTTTTGCAATAAACACAATTTACTTGAGAAAACATGCTACTGTATAAGTTGAGAGCATTACCAAAGCTCTGGAGAACAGGAGTAAAGCAGGGACCTGAGGGACATGGCCATGGCTTTTTTTGTAGAAAAAGCCCAGCAGGAACTCATTAGCATATTAGGCCACACCCTTGACAGCACAGCCCATTAGCATATTAGGCCACATCCCCATGTTACCAGAAGTGTGGTCATCCAGCCACACCCACCTTTTGCTTCTTATTCTGTTTACCTTGTTGTCAAAACCCAGGGCTTTTTTTGTAGCAGGAACTCCTTTGCATGTTAGGCCACACACCCCTAATGTAGCCAATCCTAATGAGTTTCTGCTGTTGGGTGTGGCCTATTATGCTAATGAGTTCCTGCTGGGTGTGGCCAACTCAGGAGCCAGCCGGAACTCTGTTCCTGTGCGTTCCTGACCCAAAATAGCCCCAGACATGGCCAAAGACAGAGCATCACTACTTAATTGTGGTCCATGGAATTGACTTACAGGAAAGCCAACCAGGAAGTATAGTCTGTGGACTGCTGTGAACAGGTCGCGTGGCACTGCTTGACTCTTATCGGAAAGGTTCCACATCGGGATTCTTTGACAGTTTGGGTAAGGAGATTGTGCTACTATTTTTTCCTACAATGAACCACCTTACAGGTTCCACCTCTACTTATTCTTGGATCTGAATGTGAACCCTGGTCCAAAGAAATGCTCCAGGATAATGGCATGTATCCATCCCAAAAACGTAATAGCCCTCAAAGTCTTTGGAAAAGATTCGGCCATTTCTTCGCCCTGACACTGTTCCTAAGGGTTTGCTGCCCCCAAAACGTCGGAAGGCTCAGATGGACAGCAGCACAAGAGAGGAAGTCCCACTCCTCAAAGACCCCCGATACGCCCCCAATTAATCCAGGAACCCAAATTAAATTGGTACCCAAACTGCCTATGATGCTCCCCCAACACACACTGAAGCGAAAATGAGCCACAAGAAGTTCACAATATCAATGCAAAAATGTTTTAATAGCATAAAATACTTGTTGAGGAAATAAGTATTAACATTTTATTGTGCAGCACCTGTGTGCCGGTCGATTTCCAATATCTGTATTTCTGTTTATAGTAATAGTAAACATTATTTAATAAGAAAGCTTATTTTTATGTAAACAGGTTCACAAACGGAGATGTGCAAACATGACATCCCATGTATCACGCTGGAAAAAATAAAAAGAAGCAAAGCAAAGCGAAAACACAATATAAAAATCTCCAGTACACTGAAAAAAAGCTACTTCCTGAACCAGGGCTGCATCTCTGAAGCTTTCGGAACATGGACGTTTAAATGGAGACATTTAGAGCCTTGTAAAGCACAACAGTGGATGTGACCACTGTGTCCGGCCTGCATGTGGCAGGGGAGCAGGATCATTCCCTCCCCCACAGACCTCTGGCATGCTTTCCTTACCTCTGGGGCCACCTGATGGCCATGCAGCACACATGGACTCTGACACACTGAGGCTCAATCCATGCCACTTCTACTAGACCCCCAAACAGGAAGGCAAGGGGGCTGGACTAGATGGTCTGTATGGCCCCTTCCAACTCTATGACTGTGTCTATAGGCTTTACATGCGCATTCCCCCCCCCACTCTTATGTGTGAATATCAGTCAGTTCCAGAGGCAAGGCAGATGTGACAGGGCTAACACAGGCTCCACACAGCCATATCTGCACAGAATTTAAATTCTGCTATTAAAAAAACCCTAATCCAAATAACATCTATTTTTTTAAAAGAGTAAAAACCTGGGTCCGTCTTGGCTTGGATTCTGTGGGCTGTGCCGCATCAGAGGAAGGGAATTTCCTCACTCTTCCCCCCCCCCACCCCCGTCGCCTTTGCCCCCTGAAATTGTCCTTCTGTACACAGTGGACACCCCACCCCCACCCCCGGAACAATGTTTGGAGGCAAGCGGGAGAGGAGAGATTGGAGAAAATCCCCTTCACCTCCTCCTCCAACAGAAATGCTGTTCTGTCAGAGGAACTGCTGTTACACCGACTGAACAGCAATTCAGAATCCAAGCCATGGTATTTAAGTCTGTTCTAATTTTCTATTTATTTATATAAAAAAGTGTGGTATACATACTCACACACATTTTAAAAAAAATATCCATTGGAAAGAATGTCAAACTCAGGTCTAACATTTCTAGCTGCCTTTTTGACAGAATTTCAAGCAGAGGTAGATGTGTAGTTGTTATTGGCTGATCTCTGGCAGAACGAGAAATATTGCCAACTTTTGTACACCTGGGACGTGAACTTCAAGAGGCTTCATGTCAAGAAGGAAGTCTTTCAAAAAGCCAGCCAGAAGACCTGTACTGCTGAGGAGGGGATTCCCCTAGCTAAGGGCCACTCTGCGTATTATGTGATTTACAGAATAACACCAAAGAGGTTTCCAGAGTCTAATAATACTTAATGCTTTCAGTGCGCAAAGTACTTCATGCATGTTGTCAACATTCTGAGAACATCCCTGTAAAGCAGGGCCATTTTTTAAACTCCATATTTCTGGGGCTGAGAGATTTATGGCTTATCCTAACGCCACGTGGCGACACTGTGGCCGACATGAGCTTCAAAATGGCTTAAATCTGGATTGCAGTTCCTTCTTAAGGGCCAAACACGCACAACACTGGGAACTTACCACTGGATCACCCAACCTGTAATTCAGCCTCAAACCACCACTGCACCCAAGCATGGATCGGGGCCACAGTACTCTTCCTTGCTCCTAAGTGTGCTGCTTTCCAGATTTAACCTAGGCTGCCTTTAGCCCTGGTAGGCAAAAAGACAGGCATAATATCAGCACCCGTCTTTTTTTTATTATTATCAGGACTAAGTGCAGCTAAGGGATGAGAAGAGGAGAGGCTTCTACAGTCTAGCCCTAGGCACCCGCATTCACATTTCTGTGTTACACTCTAAGTCCAGGGAAGTCAATGGGCTTACAAGAGTGAAACTCTGCTTAGGACTGCACTGTTAATCAGTGATGCAGCTGGGGAAGCCAAAAGTTAACACACACACCCTTTCCCTAGTATGGGGGCTTTGATTGACACTGATTGACACAGCGGATGCTTTTTCTGAGACTAAACTGCATATCAGGAAACCAACAGGAGATCCCAAATGCCTTGCATAATTTGGCTGTGTGTCACTACATTATACCAGCTCCCCCCAACCAGCTCCTCCTACCTAGGGTAGGAGCACTTTCAAGACAGGTATTTCTCTATAAAAGGAACAGCTAAAGGAAATGAATTCTGCAGTTTAAACTGCAAACTTCTGAATGGCAGTCTGCATTTGTACACCAGAAAGCTTTAAGCAGGGCTGTACCAAATGCACACAAGTACGCTTATCAGGCAACTGGCTTCTTGGGTGTCTGCTCTGTGGCTGTCCTCCACATAACGTGCAAACTGGCCCTGTGAATTAACTGTCTGCGGGACCTCTGTTAAGGGGCACCATTGTTCCAAGTGCTACAGCTCATGCATTCACATTCTGTATTTTAAAGCAGAAAGATGGAACCGATCTCTTCTCCCTACACCTTTTTCGGGCAAGCTGAACCGTGGGAGGGCTAACTCAGCCGCTGCCTAATCAAAATAGGACTTCAGGGTGCCACGGCGACGGATGTCACAGGTCCAGCAGTGGAAACCTCCTCCCAATGAATTGGCATGGCGGATGTTGACCTTAATTGTCGAAATCCCTGTAAAGTGAAAGGGAAGCAAAACACTTTTGTGGAAGCCCAGCTCGAACCGTCCAAAGATTATCAAGGAGCTTTGCTGCCAGAGGCGAATGGTGGATAGAGTGCTAGACTGGAGTTAAATCCTGGCACAGCTATGGTGCTGTAATACAAGGAAAGGCATGCAGGAAACACCGGACCCAATTGCTCACTAAGGCAGACCCTCCTCCCACCTTGCACCTTGTTCTGGCCTATGAGCCTCAGAGCACGGGGATTACAGACCAGCATGTGAGCACTAGAGGGAGCATCTCCAGCCAAAAGGACTTTTGGGTAGCATAAGAAGGACCACCTGATCCTGGAGATCCTGCCAGTCTGGCTTAATTGGGGGGGGGGGAGAAGATGGAGGAGGAGGAGACTGGATTTATACCCCGCCCTTCACTCGGCGTCTCAGAGTGGCATACAATCTCCTTCCTTTCCTCTCCCCACAGCAGGCACCTTGTGAGGTAGTTGGGACTGAGAGAGCTCTGGGAGAACTACTCTTGAGAGAACAGCTCTGAGAGAACTGTGACTGACCCAAGGTCACACCACCAGCATGCGAAGAAGTGGGGAATCAAACCTTGTTCTCCCAGATTAGAGTCTGCGCTCCTAACCTCTACACCAAACTGGCTCACAGGTTTTAAAATGTAATTTTATCGTGTATGCATCGTTAGCTGCCTTGGTAACCCTTGCAAGGGCAAGAAAGGTGGGGTACAAATTTTGTAAATAAATAACGGCCCCGGTCACACGGGCCAGATAACATGGGGGGAGGCGTGGCTATTTGTGCTGCCACAATTTAATCCGCCACAACCCAGCGGACCGGGGTTGTTTCCGGCAGCACGTGTTTCCGGCGTGCTTCAACGCGGCAAGAGGAGCGCACTGGAGCGATCAGACGGAGGAGGTCCGTCTGTGGCCCGTCGCAAGCTTTTGATAGTGGATTTTCACAGGTACCTTTTAACTCCGAATCTTCGGCCGGATGAGACGGGTTGGCTACGGGTGCGCAACGCTTGCCAGATGTGCCCGTTTGATCGCGCCCGTAAAACCCGCCCGGCATCCATGAGTATCCCGCGGCAACTTCTGCATGTGATTAGGGCCAACAATAAACAAACAATGGACTGACTCCGTGCAAGGCAGCTTCATATGGAGAATTCTGGAGAGGGCCTATGGCTTAGGAGCAGAGCACATGCACACAGGTGGAAGCGCTGGCTTCCATCCTTGGCATCAGCACTTCAAGGCACTCAAGCCTGGTTTGCATATGCCAGAGAATGAGGTGGTAGAATGGTACACCTCACTTCAGACTGCAGGTGGTGGATTCTAGCTTTTAGTATTTCTTTGCACAAAGAAAACTCCATGGAAGTAGAAAAGTAGCACTGCAAAGAGAGAGGTTCTAGCCGCTCCCCCCACTCCCACCTTGCTGTGCTGGTTTTCTATTTGCAGGGAGTTTGTAAACATAGGGGAGTATTCTGAAAATGTGACCTTCCACTTGCAGCTTCTGCCCCCTTAGTCTCACTTCCTTCTGTGGCATTAATAGACCAGGCTCAGTAGCAGGTGCTGGAAAATGACCTCTACTGCCATTTATACTTTGCTCTTTCTAATGGGAACCCAAAGTGGCTTAGGGCATGGTCCTCCCCTCCTCCATTTTATCTTCACAAGAGCCACCATGCGAGGTCAGTTCGGCTAAGACAGACCCAAGGCCACCCAGCCAGCACCCATGGCAGAGTGGGGATTCGAACCCCCGTCTCCCAAACCCTAGTCCAACACTCTCTGCGCCTGGAGAGGTCCTCAACAGTCAACACAAAGTTACACTCACATTTTTAGCTCAACCTTCCTCCAAGGAACTGACGATAGTACACACAATTACCTCCCCCCACATGTTATTTTTAGTGAGGTAGATTAGACTGACCTTCAGTGTGGCCTGGCTTATTTAAAACCTGCATACGCTCCTTTCCCATCCAACTCAGGTGTCCCAAAGGTGGTGAACAATCCCAAATCCATTTTGCAGGGGGAAAGGGCCTGCAATGTTCCTGGGGAGGCCAAGCCTCCCACAGACTGTCCCCTTCCCGATCCTCCAACCTTGGCTTCTATCCCATTATTCATCCTACCTAGACTTTCAAACATCTTCTGGATCGGGATCTCATTGGCATCCACCATCACGCGTTTTTCATCCAGCATCAGGACATTCATAGAGAGCCATTTCGAGGACATCCACAGCGGGTGGTCTAGAGGCAACGATACAGACCTCTGAGTGCTCAGTGCGCAAGAGTGAGACAAGCCTTCTGGGCCTGCTGTTAAAAAAACAAGACTGGTCTCCAAAAGGCGAACCAAAACATACCGTCGGGAATGAGGGGCAACGGAGGGCGAACCACCGTCCAGCCTGCCTTCTTGAAGAGTTCGATCTGAAAACAGAGACATTTTAAAACTTGACATTTTGAATCTGGCAGGCATAGTTCTCTGAGCCTGTTCTAGGCTCTCTTCTCTGCTCCTTTTTAATGCACACCACAACTTTCCCTCTTCAGTTTCACCAGTCGTGCTTTGTCTCATGATACTTTCCCACCACTACATGGATCACAATACCTTACCAATATTTTTCGTTCCTCAGGCAGCGGATATTTCCAGCAGCCCACCTGCCCGCAAAGGAGGTGTGAGGCTCCCAGATACGGGGCCTTTTCTATAGTGGCTCCTCATTCAGGAAACTCCTCCTGAACCTCAGATATTCACCTGGCACCTGATCTTATTACCTTTAAGTGCCTGAGCTGGCTATTTTGCTTGAGTTCTTACCCCACCCCATTCCACTATGTAATGCTCTAAAAAACAGATCTGTGCCACTGAAATTTTCTTCCAATTTTAATTAAAGAAAAATTCAGAAAATGTTCTACAAGTGATGACTCTTCCTTTTTCTAGGAAACAATTCCAAGCCATTCAAGGTATTATTAGAGCACAGCAAAGACAGGCTTCCAAAGAATTATATCATAAACAAGAGAACAAGAATCTGGAAAAACACCCTGCAATTTCGCTATGTTTTCAGCCACAGAAGGGGATATTTGATCTGTCCTACTTTTAGGATGAATGGGATTTTTAAATCTTCCCCAGACCCCAGGCCTCTCAGAACAAAGCTCTTAGCTTTTAGCAAGAACCATAACTGATTTCTTTAACGTCCTCTAAGAACGTCCTACTTTCATTTTTATCACAAGGGGGAGCTCTGCTTCTGTATTAACAAACTGGATTATTCCTAGAACTCAGCCTTCTTTTCTTGGCCCAAACCAGATGTGACCCTGGGAGTTCCATGTCCTCCAGAGCTGCTTCCTAGCTTTTAAAACAAGTAGTTTAATAGAAGATCTCTTGAATGGAACAAAGAGGCTTTTGGCCTTTCCCTCTACACATTTTTTTCAACCTGAAACAGTCTAGCAGAGCTTTTGTCCCGTCAAACACAAACATATAGGAAGAGCGAGATCTCAAACAGGCTGGGGCTGACCATCACCTCAGCTTCCACACTGATTGTGCCCACTGATTCACCTCCACATTAACAGGCTAAAGGCTCTTTTAATGCTCTCCTCTCCCAGGGTAAACAGCAGCGGAGGCTTTGGCAGAGCTCTCCACTTATGATACAGAGAGGCAAAGGGCTCCTAAATTCCCCCTTGCTAGGAGTGAACAGACAGATGGCTCTTTCTGCATGCCCCCCTATCTTCTCATTTGGTTTCTTTTGCGTACATAAAGGCTGAACAGTGGCAAAGCTTCTGCTGCTGCTCATGTGGGAACGGGGACGGGGAAGAGGGCTCCTATTGGGAGGGGCTGTGGCTCAGTGCAAGAGCCTCTGCTTTGCATGCAGAAGGTCCTAAATTCAACCCCTGGCATCTCCAGTTAAAAGGACCAGGCAGTAGATGGTATGGAAAACCTCCACCTGAGACCCTGGAGAGCTGCTACCAGTCTGAGAAGACAAAATGCTGACCTTTGATGAACAGATATTCTGATTCAGTATAAAGCAGCTTCATGAGTGTTTGTCTTGACTCTTATGCAAGCAAAGTGGCTTAAAAGGGACTGTCCTTGGATCAGAGCTGACAGTTGCTTACTCCTGCCCGGAATCACCGGTCCGTTAACTTATAATTTTAGTGTGAGAAGATCATACTCGCTAAACTATATGGTGCTTGCTGCAGCCATTTTTCCATTATCAATGAGCAAGGAGATAATGAGAAGGAGGAGGAGGGTTAACAAAAGTGGATGACAAGGTAGCACCTCTTCCTCTGTTGAATCAATGAGTGTTTTAGCACCTTCTCCTTGCCCTGCTGATAAAACACTCCAGGCATGCCATTGTGTAAGCAAATCTTTCTCCCCAAGGAAGCTGGACAGGCACATAGAGCAACAGCCTGATGGCTATCCTGCTAATGTGGTTTTTTAAAAAAAGATAAGAAGTTGGAGGAAGAGCCTGTTCAGCTTAAAAAGCTGTAAAAAAAAGTGTCACAACCTTTGTACCCAGCTCTCTTCTGCTAGCTGGAAAAACAAGAGCTTCTTTTAGTTGCTCCAGAAAAGTCCAAATAATTTATTCAGACAGACTGGGGGGGGGGAGCACTTCACAGAGTCCTGGAATGACTGTACCACTCCAGAATCCCAGCAGGGGGGTCACATTTGAATGCTCCTGCCTTGGTTGTGCACCTTGGGAAGGACAATTCTGGGTCCTGCTGACTGTCCAGACAGAAACGCCACCTCCCACTTGTCTTCTGAAGGACTGTAATGCTGGGAGGGCTACACCACACTTCAGGCCTGTTGCCAGAAATGTTGTGAGGGTGAGGGAGCACACTAGTGCAGACACAGCCAGGATGCAAATTCCAATAATCAACTGTGATTAAACTCATTTCACAACATCAGAAACATATATATTGTATGATATGTCAAAAATAAGTGCCTAAGTTGTTCCAGTGCCTTTGCATTCATTGAAAAGAATAGCAGAAGGATACGAATAGGTTTGCTTCTTACTGAGCAACTGAGTAATGCAAGCCATAAATCCCAGGAAGGGACTGGAATATCACTGAGGAGGGCCTGACCTTCATTCTGGTCACCACACCTCAAAAAGGATATTATAGCATTGGAAAAAGTGCAGAAAAGGGCAACTAGAATGATAAAAGGGTTGGAACACTTTCCCCATAAAAAAAGGTTGTGGCTTTGGGGTGAGGGGTGACGTGATCGAAGTTTATAAGATTATGCATGGGATAGAGCAGGTATCTCTTGTGGGCATTCAATAAAATTGCTGAGCAGTCAGTTTAAAATGGATAAAAGGAAGTCCTTCTTCACCCAAAGAGTGATTAACACATGGAATTCACTGCCACAGGAGGTGGGGGTGGCTACATGCATGTATGGCTTCAAGAGGGAATTAGATAAACATATGGAGCAGAGGTCCATCAGTGGCTATAGCCACAAGGTATAGATAAGGGACTCTCGGTCTGGGGCAAGTGATGCTCTGTATTCTTGGTGGTGGGGGGGACAAAACTGGGAGGGCTTCTAGTGTCCTGGCCCCACGGGTGGACCTCCTGATGGCACCTGGTATTTCTGGCCACTGTGTGACAGAGTGTTGGACTGGATTGGCCATTGGCCTGATCCAACATTGGCTTCTCTTATGTTCTTATGCCCCCCCAAAAGCTACAGCCTTAAACCATGTGTTTGTTCTAAACTTTTGAAGGTTACCACATAGTTCCCCCCACACACACACACCCTCTCTTCCAGACCTCATTGCATGGACGATCAGGATTGGAAAGCACAAGGCCTGGCCCAATGATGTTGAATGTGGCATCAATGTGCATGGGGTTGGGATCTTTAAAAGAGATGGTGTGCACTCGGTACTCTGGAGCAAGGTGCCTTCGCATCCATTCAATACCCAAGTAGTTGGTAACCTAGAGAAGAAGAAGAGAGCAACCTTCAAGATTTAGCTTCCTGGCAATTAAAAGAGCAACCACAACAAAAACCTGGGTCCACAGTCTTTCATTTCAACACTTACCACAGCTTTACCTCAACAGCAGTTGACTTTGACACATTTAAGATTAACAGCAAAGGGAAAGACAGAAGAAGGGAGGGTGTCCTTTCCCCCAAGGATGTCTGTTTTTGTGGAGGGAGGGGACACAGAGCTATCACTCAAATTGTTGAGGTAACATCAATCCACTTTTGACAAGGAATATTACCTTCCTGGAAAAACACTTTCCCAATTGCCTGCTCCAGTCAGCAGTAGGGTTCCCAACACTGCTTCAGCAAGTGCCAGAAGATCTGAAGAGCAGCGCATGGGGAGGGAGTAGTTTGGGGAGGATGTGATGTCACTTCCTGGTGGAGTTCTGGCTGCCTTTCCTAGTCGTGATGGTCTTTAGTACAGAGACTAAAGAAAATTTCAGAATGTCACTAGGTGGAGGCCATTTTTTTCTCCCACTCCTCAATTCCTTGGGGGGGGGGTTTGGGGGAAATTGGGGCTGAGGCTGGGTAAATCCTCACACCCTAGGCAGGTAAATGGAAACTGTAGCTCCAGTCAGCAGTCTTGAATCTGCATTTCGGGCCAGAGGGTTGTGGAAAGATGACTGCCAGCTTCTAAGATCCAGCCTGAGTGTTTAGACTAAGATCTGGGAGAACCAGGTTCAAATCCCCACTCTGCTGTTGTGGAAGCTTACTCAGTGACCTTGAGCCAGTCACACTGTCTCAGCCTGACCTACCTCACAGGGCTGTTGTGAGGATGAAACAGAGCAGAGGAGAACGATGTAAGCTGCTTTAGGTTCCCACTGGGGAGAAAGGGGTGGCATAAAAGAAGTAAGTAAGTAAGTGGAAGATCTGCTCTGCTCTTAGAAGCTTTCCTCCTTCCTTTCTCCTGTGGGTTACGTTTCTTCTCTACTGTTGTACTTCACGTTTTGTGTCGTAAGTTGTTTTGAGTCCCCATTGGTGAGAAAAGCAGCATATGAATTAACAAATAAATGTCAGATCAACTGAGCTCACTGAACAGTCTTCAAAAGCAGCCCGATGGCCACAGCAGTCTAATGCAGAGTTGGTCAAAGAACAGATAACCCAGGAAAGGTGCAAGCAACAGATCTGCACACCTGACTTCTCTGCACAAAGATGTCTCTTCCCGCTCTTATGAAGTCCGCTGCATCAAAGCACGGCTCATATTCGGTTGTGACAAATTTGCCCTGGGCAGCCAGCTTGTGCCTGTCTTCCACGGTGCGGATGGGGTAATCCTAGTGTAAGAGAGAAGAGAAAAAAGGCACACCTCATATTCTGGTCAGGTGGCCCGCTGGGTGAGAAAATGCTGGAACAAAACTGATGTACAGACAAAGAGCGCGAAGTCGGCCCCCAGGGCCAGTTGCAGATTTTGGTAGGTCCTGGGCAGAGTGCCCATGACCCCTCCCCTCTCTGCCTACCCCCCCCCCCCCCCCGCTCATGCCTCCCTTCTCAACTACTGACCCGCATGAGCCCTCTCACCACCCAGGCACAGATGCCTGGACCACCCACACGCCTCCTCCCTGACAAGGCTGGACAGTGCATACAACTGGGAGGATGGCTGGCAGAGTGTAGGTGGGAGAAGGGTAGGTTACAGGGGAGGGCAGCAGCAGTGGGCCCCATCAAAAGTCCAGGCCCCAGCAACTGCTCCACCTCAGGGTGTACTAACACCAGTAACACCAAAAAAAACCTGTGCAGAAGGATGCTAAGAAAAGAACAGAACAATTTACTAATGGGTAACAACAATATAACTGGTAGTAATTCAACTAAGAATACTACATATGTATTATTTACAAAAATCCAACAGGTAAATCCACAATTTTTTCAATAATCCAACAGTTAAGTCTACAATTTATCAATAATACAATAGGTAAGTCTACAATGAACCTAGTAGTAATTCAATTAGTGTTTACAAAAATCCCACAGGTGAGTCCACTATTTTTCCAGGTAAGTTTTCAACAATCCAACAGGTAAAACTGCAATATTATTAATCCAACAGATAAGTCTACAATGGACAACAAAGACTCCGGATTTCAGAACTTCATTTTGAATAGTCTTCCTCAGTAGAGGCTAATCACACGTGGGATTTTCCAGGGTTGAGGGAGCCAGATACCCTGAGGGAGGTTGTTAAGCCAGAATACCATACCTGGTCATACAGCTCATCAGCCATTGTGGGCTTTGGTGCAGTTGTCCACTTAGCCCCGCGGCGAAAGTAGTCTTTGATGATGGGCCGGTATGCTCTGTACTCAAAGAACCGGGCACGCCAAGCCATCGGAGCTTCAATTATTTCATTTCCAATTACCAGTAAAATGTCCCTTGGCATGGCTGCATACATACCTACCAAGGAAGAAATGAAAAAGACCAACAACCCCTGTCATTCCATTCATAGCAACCTGGATGCTGCTCTATGTCATCACTCCCAATAGCAAACTTGAGGGCTGAGCAATGGTTGGCAAGACGGCAACCAAGTACAGCCCTGCTCAAGAAGGGAGGTGGAAGGTGGCTTTGCAGCTGACACAAGGGCCAGACAATCAGTGCAATGCACAGCCCTGTTCCAGGAAGAAGCAGAGAGAGATGACTGTGCAACTGACAGCCAATCAGTGCTGTGCGGTTTTACTTGAAAATCAGACCAGGTTTCTACTGAGCACCATCCTGTGAAGAAGATCCTGTATGTGCCCCAGATTCTGTGAGTGTAAATCCACAGCAGGCTTCCTGCTACAGTTATTCACATCCCTTGAGTAATGCCCTTTGGTTTATTCTTATGCCTAAGGTTGCCAGCTCTTGGAAGGAACAAACCCAGGGCAGAATCCACCCACGGACAGGATTTGTGGAGTCAAGGGATGTAATTCAGTAGGGTCCAGGTCCAAAGCCTGTCCGTCAGGGACAAAGTTGAGGGATCAATGGGCAAAGTGAACAGAAAAACTCCAATTCATTTCCTCTCTGTCTCCGTGGATCAGGAGGGAAAGGGAAACAGAAAAGGCGACTAAAACTGCAGGTTTTGGAAAATCTGTTTTTGAGGCAAGAAAAGCCTCTGGTGAAAATGAAAAGTAAAATTGGCTACAACATTATGCTGCAGAGATCTTAGGTACAGCTTTAAAAGGCACTAACAGCTTCTCTGCTATTCCATCCGTTACGTGAAAATTTCTCATCTGTCAGCTGGCCAAAAGAGAGAAACCTCAGTCATACCAGTGGAAAATTGGACAGTTGGCAGGCCTCCAACTTTATACCCCTCCAACTTTAAAATGGTAAACTTGACCTTATATCCCATTCACCCATTACAAGCCATTCAACTATAACCACAGTAGTTACCAGTGGATTCAAAGTCAGGAGTTTTGTATTTGACCGACCAGTCAAGTGGTTCTGGCCTTTGGACAACCACTCCTTCCATCTTCAAAATATTGCACATCTCTTCTATTTCAGCGATTGCTTTCTTGACATGATCCTGAGGGAAGCTTTGGCCACCATACTTCTGATAAAATCCCCAGTACTTCTCATAGGTATTGGCCTATTTGTTAAAAAGTTTAAAAGAAGAGGGAGAGATCGAGAGTTCAACAAAATAGCTTTGTTAACATTGCATAGCATTTACCAAATCTAATCTACCAAACAAATCCACCCAGATTTCATTTCTAATTGCAGGCTTACTTAAAGAGTTTAAGTGAATAATGCACCTACACAATGCAACAGAATTCCTTAACCCTACTTTGCTTTCAGGATTCTTTCACGTTCCTTCCCCTTCCCACACCCAACGGGCATCTGGCACCCCACTTCCATTCAGATTCCTTTACTAGGTAGCAGGTTTTTGTAGGGCACCAAGCAATAATGGAAGGATTATACTGAGATAATCAACAATTGCTCTTGTTAACAAGACCAGGAGCATGCCGTAGTGGAGTCCATACCCATCATTCTCTCCCTGAATCCATATGGAGAGGACAACACTGCTATAATTATTGGAAGGGCCAAACATTGACCACAATAAATGCTCTTAAAATACAATCCTTGCTTTGCAATTCAGTCTTGAGTATGTGACCCTTGTTCACTCCATGCCCTGCTACAGCAAGCCAATTCTCTGCTCATCCTAAACTTGGCTAAAGTCTGAAATGGTATCTCTGAGAGAGAAATTTCCCAGAGAAGAAGAGAATGGCGGTAGCTAGGGGAATCCCACAGCAGCTTCCTGCTTTGGGTTAGGTTGGCATCAGGCCGGAGACAGCCAGGCTGTGGTTTCATCTGCCATGGAGGCACATGGGAAACCAGCCTTTAATGGTGCCAGTGGAGCAGACAGAAGCCCGTGTGATCTCTTCTATCAGACTTCCTTTTAATGTACATGCAAAGAAACCCATAAGCAAGGTGAGCCAATGCCCTGAGGTGCACAGGACAGCATGAGCCATCTTTGTGAATGTTCCTCGTGTTCATATGTCCATGCCACGTATCAAGGCTTTAAAAGTGTCAGTGAATAAGGGAAGATTGCTTTCTTAAAAAGTCTGGCTCTTAAAACAAATCAGCCAAACTGCCTGAGCCTCAGCCAACAATTCACATCTGTAACTCTGCTCAGTGGGGAAATGTTAAGGTCTTTGACAGTCAGAAGATTAATCGCTCCAGTAGTAGCTGGAGCCGCCAAATGTACAGTACACAGCCCAAGATGAGAGATCTTCTGCCAAGAGACCACAGTTGCGTAGTCTTACAAGAGGCCAGGAATAAGACTGAAACATAATGCAAGATTGTCACTGCCTGCCAGAGCAACAACTGTTTTGCAGACTGTGTTTTCAAACTTTCATGTTAGGAGATTATAAAGGTGATTCAATTTTTAAAAAATAAAACCCCAATTTTGCTATGCTCTGGACTGCATTTCTTCTTTCTGTATTGTGGGAGTTGGAAATGGGGTTGAATGAGCCAGTAGGTTTGAATGAGGACCTATAACCCCCTGATTTATATATCTACAGAGAGAGGGGGAGAGAGAGAAGCTACATTTTGATGGGCAGATGAGGAGAGGCAGGCTACTGACACAAAGGCTAACAATGGGGGTGGGAAACAAAGTTCTTTTAATAATTTTAAAATTATGAATATTGTGTATATTAATACTGTTGTCACGCACTCTGAGCCCTGATGAACAGGGGAGGGCAGGCTATGAAAGAAAGAAAGAAAGAAAGAAAGAAAGAAAGAAAGAAAGAAAGAAAGAAAGAAAGAAAGCCTACCCTGTGAGGTAGGTGGGGCTGAGAGAGCTCTGACAGAAACGGCTCTTTCGAGGACAGCTCTGACAGAACTATGGCTTGCCCAAGGTCATCCAGCAGCTGTAAGTGGAGGAGTGGGAAATCAAACCCGGTTCTCCCAGATTAGAGTCCGCACACTTAACCACTACACCAAGTAAGTAAGAAGAAGAAACTCCATTGAGTGTTCTTTTAAGCTCCCAGCTCAAAGGTGTTCCGAAGATGACTAGCTCTCATTTACACAGCTAAAAATAGGCACTACAGCATAAGGCAAAAACCAAAGCCATGTTTAAGACCAACCAGAAGAACATCACAGTGGGCAAACTTTTGGGTTCTGCAGAACTCTTCATTAGGCAGGATGCTTTTAAAGGTGGGGGTAGGGGAGACCTCTCAGGCCATTATCCTAAGGCCTCCTTGTCAGCATTCAGTGGGCACAGGTGGCAGCTCATATCAGGTGGCATACTAAGAGCACACTGGCCTCGACATACTAAGAGCAAGAAGACAATTGAATTAATCAACTAGCTAAGGAGAATACTTTTCAAATGCAAATCCCAACAGGACGACTTCTACCAGGTCTTCTAAATGAAGTGCACACAGAAAACGAATTGGCTTCCTCAACTAATGCTGTATTCAATCAATCAATCAATCTAATTTATTGCGACAGGAACCAGTAAAACAGTACAATTCTGATATAAAAGGGATTTAAAAAGTAATAACATGGGAATAATATAAAAACATCAACAGGAGAGAGTTAATAAAATTAGTAAAGTAAAATAGTGTTAATAAGAGAATCATACAATTTTTTCAGCTAAAATAAGTTTACGTTTCCTAATAGCTAAGCAACAAAATTTTGCCACAGCGTAAGTCACTGAGCTCTGAACGTCTTCTAAGAGGAATTTACGAAGGACTTCTGGCCTAAAGTCAAGATAAGACTGCAAAGGGCTAAATCTAGACAGAAGGGGTAGTATAAGATGGTCTCGTTCCTCCTGATAGAATTTGCAGAACAGGAGGACATGAGTAATTGATTCCACCATATTAGCCATGCATGGGCATCTACGTTCATGCATTGGGACTCGAGTGAATTTACCTTGCAGTACAGCGAAAGGGAGTGCCTCAAAACGGGCTCGGGAAAAGGCCCATCTATAGGGTTCATAGGTAATGTTATCTAAATAAGGGGCAACAGTAAAATTTGGCCAAGATTTTATGTTTCTGTAGTTCTCAGGTAGCAAAGCTTCTTCATTTTGTGATTCAATATCACGAAGCCTCTGCACAACAGCTGTTCTTGCCTTGTCTTCTAAATGAAGTGGACACAGAAAACGAATTGGCTTCCTCAACTTACATAGAGTTAATGCAGGTGCACACTTAGAGCGGTGACCAAATTCAGATGTTTTACAGCATCTGTTTTTATTTAAAGCCATGGGAAGAAGAAATCCACTAGATCCATCCATGAAGCAGCCACCTCTATTAGGTTTCTCTTGCAAACAAACAAACAAACAAACAGCCCGGGGGGGGGGACAGACCCAGGCTATTCAAGAGGACTATAATTTCTCCCCCCACCCCAATCTGGAAATGCCAAGCAAAGATTTGAAAAAAAACTAAAAATAAAGACAACCATCTGTGTAAATGAAAGAAGAACTGAGAGAATAAGTTAATTCAGGATGAACTAGAAGCCTGTGGGCCAGACTGATCCATCTAAGCATTAGTCATTTATAATGTTTCTAATCTACTCTCTGCCATTCTACACAGGAGGTAACTAGCAAACATCCAAACAAAATCAACAAAGGAAGCAAATGACAATAATAATAATAATAAGAGATTGGATCTATACCCTGCCCTTCACTACCCAAAGGTGTCTCAGAGTGGCTTACAATCTCCTTTCCCTTCCCCTCCCCACAACAGACACCCTGTGAGGTAGGTGGGGCTGAGAGAGCTCTGACAGAAACTGCTCTTTTTCAAGAACAGCTCTTATTAGAATTATGGCTTGCCCAAGGTCATCCAGCCAGGTGCAAGTGGAGGAGTGGGGAATCAAACCCAGTTCTCCCAGATTAGAGTCCGCGCACTTAACCACTACACCAAACTGGCCCTACAAAATCTAAAACAGGGCCAATAAGGCAGCAGAGTGACAAGCAGACCGGGCAAGGGAAGTTTCCGAACTGCTGCTCTGCACATGCACAAAGCCCAGCGGCGCAATGCACAGAGACCATGAAGAAAGTAAATAGTCTTTGCATTACAGAAGAGATTCACATTTACCCAAGTCCTCTGTGCTCAACTTATGCATCTGTACTCTCTCTCCTTGCAAGGAAATGGGCCCTGTAAAATCCAGTCCTCTGTAAAGCTCCTTTAATACTCAAGGAAGAAAGGAAGCCATGAAAAGCATTTAAAGGAGGGGTCGTACCTTGACCTCTACGGAAAAAGGAGGGACGCAGGCATTTTCGGCTCTCCCAACAATGACTTCTTCAAGCAGGTCCCATTCGTTGTGTGAGCAGACAGGGCAGTCTTCGGGAATGGGGTCAGGGGCTTTGTTGTTGTCCTCAGCAGCAGCACAGGAGGTCTGGGAGACTGCGGCTGCCTGGGTGCTTTGGAAAGTTCGCTGCACCCACCCTGTGACGGCTCTTCTAAGCTTGAAGGAAATTAAACAGAAAATTACACCCAGCTAGACAAGCAGTTGCCAGATCTTAAAAAAAACCTTGATCATTCTGCTAAGTGAGAAGCCAGTCTACTAGTCCTCATGATCTGAGTTGCACACAGACACTAATTTTCACCCTGACCACCCTCTACTAAGTAGGAAGGGTTGTGTTTTCTCCTTTGTCTTGAAGATCTCTTTTCTAAATTAAATTTTAGGGTCCTAGTGACCTATGGCTGAAGTTCAGACACTGAGCAGGGTTAGCTTTCTTTCTTTAATTTGCTTACACCCCGCCTTTCTCCCCAGTGGGGGCCCAAAGTGACTTACGCCATTCTCCTCTCCTCCATTCTTTCCTCACAACCCTGCAAGGTAGGTTAGGCTGAGTGTGACTGGCCCAAGGTCCCCCAGCGAGCTTCCATGGTACAAATGGGGATTCAAACTGGGGTTTCCCCAGATACTAGTCCAACACTGTTAACCACTACAACACACTGGCCTGGATTAATACTTGGACAGAAAACCATCAGGGAAGTGCAGAGTCGCTATGCAGCGGCATGCAGTCATGGTAAACCACTTCTGTTCATTTCAGTTTGGTGTAGTGGTTAAGTGTGCGGACTCTAATCTGGGAGAACCGGGTTTGATTCCCCCCTCCTCCACTTGCACCTGCTGATGTGACCTTGGGTCAGTCACAAGCTCTGGCACAGCTGTCCTTGAAAAAGAGCAGTTTCTGTCAGAGCTCTCTCAGCCCCACCCACCTCACAGGGTGTCTGTTGTGGGGAGGGGAAGGGAAAGGAGTTTGTAAAGCCGCTCTGAGACTCCAAGTGAAGGGCGGGGTATAAATCCAATCTCTTCTTCTTCTTCTTCTTCCCTTATGGGATCACCATAAGCTGGCTGCAACCTGATGGGTCTTTCCACCAGCAGCTACCTATTTACCTGGGTGAGCAGATGCAGTATTGTTGTTTTAATTTATTTATAAATTAAATTTATAAACCGCCCTCCCCTGAGCAATGTTCCCTCTAAGCCGTGGAGTCTCATGAGCAAAAATTCTACTTTCTGAGCGACTGGCATTAAAGTTGTGAGCGAGCAACTTGGCTGCTGCATAAATTAGTTTGCTTTGGAGCCCTCCTTCCTGAGCTAAGATAAAAATGTCTGAGCCAGAGGCTAAAAAACTGTGAGCTGGCTCACACTAACTCAGCTTAGAGGGAACACTGCCCCTGAGTATCCAAGGCTCAGGGCCGTTAACAACAGTAAAAACACTAATAAAGTAATAGAACAATGCAAACTATTTACATAGTACAGAATTAAAACGTTCTTTTTTTTTTTGAGCCCCCTCAAAGGGGATTTTTAATTGCATTTTTATAAACACTACAAACTACAACAGAAATAGGATAAAGGACTACATCTAGGGACAAAGTAAAGACACCCACTAATACCTAAAAACCCAAGAGAGGAGATCATCTAATCAGCTTGCACAAACATCAAGTCTTAATTCTACTAATCCCCTTACAAACTGAGTCAGATATATCATTGTCTTTTTAAATTCTTAAATTCAACTGTTATTAAGAAATACCCCCAAGCATCTCAATTCAACATTTTTTTAAAGGCACATATCAGAGTCCTTCAGCCTTCACTTCTCCTTGCCCCGTCTCTTCCGCAACTTATAAGGGCTTTTAGGAGCCGCTGCCCCTTCCTCTGAAAGAGAGTCCTTTCCGGAAGAATTCGAGTCCAGCTCACTACTGGACTTACTGTCCTCCCCTTCTTTTCCTTCCTCCTCTGGCCCTCCCAACTGGACTCTTAAAAATTCCCAAGCTTTCAGAACAGAGTCAATCTTTTCTTTTTTATCCTTGATTTTGAAGGTGACACCTTCTGGAGTTAGCCATCTGTATCCAATTGAATTTGTCTGAAGAAATTGTATTTCTTTCTCCTTTGCCTTATTTCAAATGGGATGTCTTTGAGAACTCTGATGATATTTCCCCCCACTTTCAGGGGTACTCCAGATACTGCTTTCAGGATTGCATCCCTCACATGCCTCTTCGAGAATCTTACGACAATTTCCCCAGGCAGATTATTTTTCTTTATATATCCTGAATATGACCTGTAGGCCACATCCATATCGCTTATCAGCTGTTCTGCCGTCATCTCTGTCATTGGGGCCAGTATTTCACTCATTGTTTCCTTTAGATTCTCACCCTTAGTCTCTGGCATGCCCTGGAAGCGAAGGATCATATTAGCCTTTTCCATTTGTAATTGCAGCAGTTGCTCTTCTGTGGAGACTTGCTTCCTTTCTATTTGTTTCACTTTCTTCTTCACCTTTTGTACAGTGGCATCCACTTCTTTCACCTTCTCAGCTGTTTGATTCATCATTTTCAGAGTCTTGTTTATCTGGTCTTGCTGAGCGGTGATACATTGAGTCACTTTGGTCATCTGTTCCTTGAAGTTATTCAGCTGGTCCATTAGGGGGCACATGGATTCTGCCAGTCTTTGCCAGCTCGTTGGTTTCTTCCGGTTTTGGGCTCTCAATTCCTTTTGCTTTCAAAAGTTTCTCCTTTTCTGCCCTCTTCCCCGCCATGTTTTTCGGGTTGTTTACTTTCGCAAACTTTTTGAAAGTCTCTGAATATGCGCTTAAACGCTCGAACACTCCTTGGTAAGTACTTCTTAACAGTTTTAACCACTTATTTTTCCGCTCCCCCCATTAGCTCAAAAGTTCATGCGCTCGGGAGGCATCCCTCCCCTGCTTGCCTAATTCTCTATTGCGTAGTTAGGGTGGGGAGCTTTTTCTCTTTAATCAACGCTTAAATGACTCATGTTCATAAGCGGTCCTCAGACCTCGTTTACTTTCGGTTTTAAACGCTCGATCTCCCACGCTTGCCCCGGTTAGTGTTGCTTAAGTCCATTCGGTCTCTCAGCACGGAGAACCGTCGGAACGGAGAGGCGCCTCAATTCTCCGACATGCCGCCATCGAAGAGGCGATCTCTCAGAAGTTCCATGGCCAGAGTCCCTTCAACTGGGTCTCTGGGGGGGATGACGAATCTGCGCACCCCCTCCTTCGGCTGGAGCGCAGCTTCACCCCCGGGAGGTCCGGGAGGTGAGTCTGCTCTAGCGCGCCGCCATCACCGGAAGCCAGAATTAAAACATTCTCAAGTGGTGCCAAACTTCAGGACTCCAGATTGTGCCACTGTCTCGCAGGCAAGGCCGAAAAGCAGCAGGGGGAGGGGGGGAGTGCCCGATGAGACGGCACCTGTCACTGTCCTCAGCCAAAAGCCTGGTGGGACATCTCTGCCTGGCAGGCCCTGCAGAACGGCATTAGGCCCCGCAGGGCGCGGATGTCACTCAGCAGAGTTCTACCAGGCACCGCGAACCATTCAGACGCACAGTGCACTCACAGAAGTGGGGCACTGTGAGATGAGAGCACTGTTATGAGGCTCGTCTTCGGTGACACAGCTCATACACAGACTGCTGTTATTTGTGTACATAATGCCATGAAAATCTTCTCACAGTTTTACGAGAGAAGCATGCTGCTTTTGCAAGTGCCTTCAATGCAGGAGCCAAGCTTGGCGCCTGTCCCAGTTGTGTCGGAGAGCAAGACTGAGGGTGAATGGGATGAGGGCTCCGCTCACCCGAGCAGGGGTTGGCAGCGTCAGGATAAGTGGAGCCCAGGGACAGCTGCACTTGAATCCAGACCTGGAGGATACAACCCTGGGGACAACGTCCCCTGAGCTGGAACCTGAAGTCCAGCTGGAAGAAGATAACTGCTCCATTGAGCAGGCAAAGACAGAAGGCTGGCCCCCAGGTATTTGTACCAGGCTGAGCCAGATCAGCAGTTCCATACTAACTGGCAATGACAGAGGTCTTGACCCTCACACACAGTCCACAGGCCTGGAGATCTTCAGGAACGACAAACGATCTCCTGGCTTAGACAGGGATCAGTTCCCCCGGAGGAAATGGCAGCTATGGAGAACGGACTCTAGGGCACTGCACCCCACTGAGGTACCTGTTCTCCCCAGGCTCCACCCCCAAATCGACAGGAATTTCCCACCTGGAGTTGGCAATCCTACCTACAGTAGCTCCGCTAGGCCACATCTTCTGAAGGCCCCAGTTCAAGCCTCGGAGTCACTCACCTCAAGCATGATTACACAAGACATTGAAAAAACACAGTGAGGGTTTCAAGTGTTTTTCTGAGGCTGAATGAGACTGCGGTAATGCCAGTGGCAGAAGCATGTTTACACCCTTCCTCCCCCAGTACCATTTTCTCCATTTAAAATCCCTCCTAAATCAGTTGTTTGCCCCTCAGGGGAAATGCCACAACTTTTTACGGTTTACTGGTTTTACTGTTTTACCCGTGAGCCCCCTTGACTTGAGCAGATCTGGAGAGGCTGCATACAAATTGGGATGGTAATTTATATTTGGAAAGGCCGGAGGGGAAAGATTACACAGGCCTCCAGCCACTGTTGTGGCCATGGATCTGATATGGACTCCTTCCCTCCCTCAACGAAGCTGCCTTGCACCACAAGGAAAGGCAAATTGTTTTAATAAATAAATAAAAACTGCTTCCAATTTTCTGTGTAAAAAACCCTGCAGGAGAAGCTGAGCACGGTCTCCTTCTCCCCGTCTAGCGTCATTCTTACTGTTGGCAACAGAAAGAGTAACCAAAGGCCAGGTTTTGCTGCTGCCAAATTTTCTCTCACACAGCAGCAAACAGAGAATGTCCTGCTCTTGCCTGCTACTCAATGGGAAGGGCTGTTTCCAGCTGGAAAGAGGAGGGAATAAAAGCCCTGGAGGGAGAGGGAGGGGGAGAGAGAGAGAGTGCGAGCGTGTGTGTTGGGGGGGGACACTAGGCAGGCAGCCTTAAATCAGCAGAAAACATTCCGTGGACTAGGGCCAAATGATGAACCAGACAGCAGCATTCTGCATCCACCCTGTTTAACAAAATGTTTCAACTGGTAACCACGCTTGATTCACAATGCATGTCGCAGCTACTGCATCTGTGCTGATTTGCTGTTCCAGTCTCCCTCACTTTAAATAACTGTGTTGTTTTTTTAAACCACCAAGCTGCTGAACTATCAGTTGGGAGAGGAAAACGTAATTGCTTGACAAGGCTCAGTGGCCAAATTTGGCTAGTCAGGCCAAGATCACTGCAAGACACTTTCTTCGAGGAGAGGGAAGTACCATTTTATTACTCCTAAACCTTTAAAACTTATAGAAGCCCAGACTCTGTACCTTCCTTCGTCCCCAAGCCCCATTCACAGCAAAGAGAAAGGGACAGAAAATTCCAACAGCACTCTCTCTCCTACTATCAAACCAGAGGGCACAAAATTTCCAGGAGTGGCAATTGAATGCAACAGTGAGGCCCTTGTGCTTGTGGAGGAGACTGTTAACGAGCCAGATCCATCCATTTCACACTCTGGATCCAGCACCTGAAGAGGATATTTCAGTTTGCCTTGTGATAGCACCTGCAAGGGACAGGGTGGCATACATCAGATGTGGCTCCACTTACACCACAGACAGAAGGCACGGTTTCCCTCCGTGCAAACAGCACAGGCACTGCCCTTGGCTTCTACCCAAAGGATCTAGTTTAACTGGGGTGGTGGCTTGAAGCCAACTGATTCCCTACTCTGCAAAAGCTACTGAGCAAAAGGAGCCACAGCTGTTCCACACCAGTTGTGGGGGAAGGCTAGGCAGTGTCAAAGCAAGCATGCCTGATCCTGTTGCTGACGGTTAATGATCTACATTCCCATCCCAATATGGGAGGGGTGTACATTTCTGATGGCTCAGCAAAAAAAAATAAAAAATAGGGAGAGCCACAAAGCATACTGATGGCTAGAAATTGAACACTTGGCACAGGCTAGTGGGATTCTCAGGGTTAACTCAACTCAAGGCCATGAACCAGGTTAGTGTATACAGTGTACCGACCTCGGCTCAAGTGACAAGATACAGCAAAATTAACTGTAGGGGCTCCTGCAGTCTTCCAGGCTCTAAGGCAAAGGTCAAACACATCCTAATAGGAAAGGAATCCATTTACTTGCAGATAATAAATGGCCAGAGTTCCTCTGCCTGCCTCGCTGGCTAGAGAGAATCTTGCAAGAACATCAGAACAGAAAACAGGACACATTTTTCTGCCTCGTTTTGTTGTCTTTTGGAGTAGGAGGGAGAGACTCTCTCACGGCTGCTAACACAGAAGTCAGTTGCTGGGTGTTGATCTTGGAAACGAGAACTTGGGGCTCTCCATAACCACAGGCTTCCTGGGGAAGAACCACGGCAGCTCAATGGTAGAGCATCAGCTTTGCATGCAGACGGTCCCAGGTTCAGTCCCTGGAATCTTTTAGTTAAAAAGGATCCGGTAGCAGTGGGTGAGGTGTATGTCTCTGCCTAGGATCCTGGAAGGGCACTGCTAGTTAGCGCAGATTATACGGGCCTGGCTTAGATGGACCAATGGTGGAAGGCGGCTCCCTGAGTGTACACACAGAGGTCTCCTTGCTGACATCACTGCCCTGTGCTGAAGGACTTCGCCATCTGCTCTGGGGTTCTTCATGTATATTCTAAAGCTGCTACATATAACTGATGAGGTGCTGCCCCATTCAGATACACACACATATACACACTGTTTGCTCTTTTAAAAAAAATTTTTGCCATTCTGGTTCGGTTAGGAAAGTGATAGCAGGCTGGTAAAACTAGAAAAAGGGAACAAAACTGAAGGAAAGGAAGACAATTTTTTACAATCTTGATATTGTTTATCTTCAGGATGGCTCTCCCCCCCCCCCCCCCCCCCCCCACCACAGCACAAGAACCCACCCCATTAGGCACTGGCTCCTCCTTTTGTTTAGATCCAGACAGATTTTCTTTTTTTCCTCCCTCAGCCAAGCTAATGTATATCCTATAATGCCTATTTATAAGGTTGGAGGATATAGACTCAAATCACAGTGTAGCTAGTTTGGTCTTGAAACAACACAAAGATTTTAAAAAAGGAGGGGCGGGCAATACCAGAGCTTTTGGTAAGATTTAGTTCAACTGTGTTAAGAACCTAATCAAACTATTATCAGGAGGAAAAAGAAACTCCTTCCTTTCTCCCAAATTCGACAGTGCACTTTTCCCGGCTGTTTTCCCTGCCTAATGCCCACTGAGTAATCCTGCACTAATCTGTGTTTTTACAAACAGCAGATCACCTTGTTCTGGAGTCACTGATTCATTCATACAAAAGGAGTACAATCTTCCTGGTTCAGTGGAGGGGGGAACTGACAGAATTTTGAAAAACAACACCCTATTCTACCTGCTAAAACTTTTGGCCATTTTTTTTAAAAAAGCAACACTTTTTAATCACCTTGATGGTATGAACTGGCAAATACAAACTGAATGACGCAGGATGATTTTAATTCCTGACATTTTAAATGTGTAAGCAGTGGTCTATTATTGCCATTGTTAACTGTTCTTGTATACTTCTTTAGTTCATTTACATCCCCCCTTTCACTCCAATGGGGACCCAAAGTGGCTCGCAACATTCCCCCCTCCTCCATTTGTCCTCACAACAGTCCTGTGAGGTAGGTTAGGTAGAGTGTGTGTGACTGGCCCCAAAGTCACACAGCAAGTTTCCATGGCAGAATGGGGATCTGAACTTGGGTCTCCCAGATCCTAGCCTGCCATCCTGTTTTAATAGCGGTTGTAATCTGCTGGTTAGCCATGTTCCTACTCGGGGTCCATGCTTCCCCATCACATCTCCAGCCAGCCCCCTCAAGCAATGACAGCAAGCCCCCTTTCTCCCTGCATGCACCATTCAGACATGCACACAGCTCTGTAGAATAGAAGAGATGTCCCAGGAGACTCCTCCAGTGTGTGCAGGATACAATGCATCTCTCTCAAAAACGGCAGGGGGGGGGGGAGCTAGGTGTGACCTCTAACTGGCACCGGGATCCTAAGCAGCTCTATTCAGAATCCTACTCAGGTCCATTCTCTGGGGCTCACTTCCAGGAAACCCTGCCTAAGATTGCACTGTTGGTTCTTCAGTACAGGAAGGGAAATCATCACCACATACCCTTATTCTTTGGACAGGTAACCAAGTAAGCATTTAGACTGTTAAGCGTTTTATATATTAAAGAGAAGCGAGTTAAAGAGGGGGGAAGAGTCTTCGGTAAAGTGACCTGCAAAATTATTCAAACTACCTTCGTTTTTTTCAACTACAGATATTGCTGTGTGTGTATTTTAGAAGTGTGCTTCGGAGAAGTAGCATTTCCATCAAAAGCCAACATTTTCACGACAGCTCTCAAATGCCACTTTCAGAAACAAAACTTGCCTCACGTTCAAAATGTCAAATTCTGAAGTGCTACCAAATCTCTACTTCCCACCCAAAATCTCCTTCCAGTTTCGGGATGAATGGATGAATGAATGAACGAACGCGATGAATGTCATCATTAGTGGCTCCATTCTCGAGAGTGCCCGGACGCTGATCAACCTGCCCGGCCATCCGTGGTGTGCAGCAGCGAGGAGAAACGCACTCTGCATACACTCAGAAGCAGTCTGCTCTTTTATTAATCTTCCCCCCCAATAATCTCTGGCAGAAATTCCAGGCGAAAAAATCTTCACCCGATTTTGATTGCACGAAATCTGTTCGTTGCAAAAGAAAGAAACCCAAAGGGCCCCCCTCCCCCCAAATTCGGCTCTTGGAGGAGCCTCGCGGAAGGCCGTGCCGGCTTGGGGTCCCTCCCGCGCCCACCGTGGGGCCGGCACCTACCCGCGACCCGATGTAGTGCACGGCTTCGGCCCCCCGGCTCCCTCCGCGCAGGCACCGCACTCGCAGCATCCCGCTCTCGGTTCGGCGTGGCTGGCGACAAGAAGAACGCGAGAGGCCCCGCCCACCCGCACCGAGACCGCCAAAGACGAGGGGACACGCGCCGCAGGGGCCCTTTATAGGGGCATGCCCGCCCCGCCCGCGCGCCTGGCTCCCGGTTGGCTGGCTGGGGCAGGGAGGGGGAGGGGGAGCCCGGAGTGAGGCAGCCGCGCCCGGCCACCACCCCCCCCTATAGGGGGTTGGTGGCCCGGCCCAGGCGCCGCCGAGACCATTTATGGCTCCGGGGGGGGGGCTTCCCCACCCACCACCGCCACGCGAAACCGCAGGCCTGCTCCGTGGGGCAGGAGAGAGTGGACGACCCCATTGCAGACGGAACCCGGGGACCTTGGGGACCCCCCCCCCCTCACCTCTCTCTTTGGAGAACAGCGCGGCGTTGCTCCTTAAGAGAAGCCAGGAGGGTGCATTAAGGCCGATCTCTTGCGCCAGCTTGTGAGTCCTGCAGCACTCTTCACCAGGCGGCTCCGGGGAGCTGGGACCCTCCCGCGAGGAGGAGGAGTGTCGTTTGGGGTCTCTTCTGCAAGAGATCCCGGACAGCAGCCCGGTCGGTCTGGGGGAGCAGAGTTAATTCCAGCAGGAGTGGGCGCTCCTCCCTAGGGATATGGGCTGTAGTCACTAGTTGCATCCAAAGAAATGGGCTGTAGTCCACGGAAGTTCCTGCTGGTATGTTTTTGGTTAGACCTTAAAATGCCACAGGGGGTGGACTCCTGCTTCTTTTCACTGAAAGTTCTCTGTAAGGAGAAAACTAGCATGTCAGAGAGAAACACTGTAGCTCCAGTCTTCTCCCTGCTGTGCTACTGTTCCCCTGGCAGGACATCCACCCCCACCCCCTTTTGTTTTTGCTGTCAAGTCTAGCTGACTCTTGGCGATCCCATAAGGTTTTCAAGGCAAGAGATGAACAGAGGTGGTTTGCCCTTGCCTGCCTCTGCATAGCAACCCTCAACATCCTTGCTGGTCTCTCATCCAAGTGCTTGCCAGGGCTGCCCCTGCATAGCTTCTGGGATCTGACAAGATCAGGCTACCCAGGGCAGGGCAGCAGGAATTTGGGATTGGAAAGGGGGAGACCACAGCCCAAGGGACCACGGAAAATGTGATTTCCGTGCCTGCAATTGAAGTAACACAGTCCACTCCACCACCTCAAGAGAGCCAGTTTGGTGTAGTGGTTAAGTGCGCGGACTCTAATCTGGGAGAACCGGGTTTGATTCCCCACTCCTCCACTTGAGCCTGGCTGGATGACCTTGGGCAAGCCATAGTTCTGATAAGAGCTGTCCTTGAAAAAGAGCAGTTTCTGTCAAGAGCTCTCTCAGCCCCACCCACCTCACAGGGTGTCTGTTGTGGGGAGGGGAAGGGAAAGGAGTTTGTAAGCCGCTCTGAGACACCTTTGGGTAGTGAAGGGTGGGGTATAAATCCAATCTCTTCTTCTTCTTCTTCTTCCTTTAAGGCATTCTGCCGCCGCTTCCATAGATCCAGCCTGTCCAATCAGATACCGCTTTCCCCATGCAGGTGGGGTTCCACATCCTCGGAAGACTTGCTCCCAAAGAACTGTGCATCAGATTGCAGCAATAGTATAAGCAGGAGGAAAATTCCTTCCTGACCCCAAAATGGCAATCAGTGTTACCCTGGGCCTGGCTCATTCCTTCCTGCCCTCTCTCTCATGATCTGCCTAAATTCATAGTGAGCCAGCGTTGCTGACAGATGGCCATCTTGTCTCTGCTTGCAAGCCTCCAAAGGAGAGCCCGCCAACTCCCATTTAGCCCACCTAAACATCATGTTATACTATAAGTTGCCGAGAACCACGAGGAGAGGCAGAGTAAACATATTTATTAAACAAATATACAGAAAATTCCTGAGCAGATCTCCAAGTTTTTTGTAAATGGTTCTTAGATGTGGGGGGGGGGGGGACACAGATAGAACTGATAGCAGCTTAGTCTCCCTGTTGGGTGATAGTGAGATATTGAAAAAATGGTATTTAGCAGAGATAAGATAGTCCAGCAGAGCCAGAGTAAGATAATTCAGACTCGGAATCCATGTGTGATTAAAATATAAAGTTTTTACTAAATTCTAGCATGGGTAACTGGGATGAAAATCCCTTGTATGCCGCCCTGAGCCTGCGTAGCGGGGAGGGCGGGGTATAAATTGAATAAAATAAATAAATAAATAAATAACAACAGAGCATAATCGGCTACATCCTTACTCTACAAAGACAAAACTAGAAGAGAGAGTATGGCTACTCTTCTTGTTCTTCAGAACACCAAACAAAGACAGGAAGAGAATGGTAATACACCTTGACACTTTAGTCCCAATCAAATTCCTAGATCAGGGAGAAAATTCCGGGGCATTCTACATCTAAAGAACATTGGTTACATGAGAAACATGTGACTTCCTGTGAGTAACATAAACAAACATTTAACCCCAGATATACTAAGTGTTTTCAACTTGTAATACCCAACACTCCCCTTACTGGTACTTCCTCATCTTGACGTGAGATTTCTCCCCAAATGACTGTTAGGTGGAAAAGATGCCCATATTGTTGTCCCTTTCTCCTCCACCCCTATAATAGCTAGCACGTGCTTGGTGGTTTTGATCAGAGAAACTATGCATGGGGAACAGTTTATTGGGTTAAATGTTAAAAAAAATATCATTTGCCTTGGAAGCACAGAAGCATTACGCAGATTCTCCACATTTCCTGGTTAAGTGGAAAATGCCGTTCAAACAAATTACAAAGATGACCTGACTCCAATGGTAACAAGAGAAAGAAATTTTACTTATAAAAATAGAAGCACATCTCACATGACATATTCACGTAGGTATGTTTAACTTATTGTGAATAGATTAACTTCAAAAAGGTTAACTTGCTACAGCTCCAAGCCCAGGTGAGAGAGAGGAGAAGAGAGGTCCTATATAAGACGAAACAGAACAAGGACCAAAGAGGCTCAACATCTAACGACTGAGAGGGTGGGGGCCCCATGGTTCAGTTTTGGGAGCCCTTCAGCTGGGATTTGAAGCCGTCCGCCTCCGACAGTGCTAGAGACAAAGGTGATGGTACTTCACCCTAAAAGTGATGACTCAGGATCTCACACACTCCTTTTTCCAAATCAGATCACTCCAATAGGCTTTCCCACTTGACACGATTTTCCCTTGACCTTTGGAATATTTGCCTATCTTGTGTTACATAAAAAGTGAACGCTTGCATTTGGCAATAGAAGCTGGGGTGGGGTGGGGGAGTTCTGACAGGAATTGCAGCAGAAACGTGGCTGCATCAGATGTTTCTGGATTTTTTCAAAAAGCTATCATGGCTAGGAAAGAAATCCCTAAAGCTGTCACTGTTTCTGAGAGCTGAATGCTTTTTTTAAATGCTTTTTTCATGTGAAGTTTAAATTTGTCTTGAATCTTCTTCAGTGTGCAGCTACACCCATTATGTGTATTCCTGTGATGCTTTTCCCCCTGACAAATCTGTAAAACCAGAAATGGCTGCTAGGGCTGTGATCCAAAAGGAAAGGCTGGTGCAGGAGCAAAGACTACACTTCTTAACCCTTTCCCTGTTGAACATTGCCCCCCCCCCCGGCTGATTTACACCCCCCCCAGGGAAAAACTTAGCGTCTGCACAATGGGTTGGATCCAAACAACATTTCTAACTTCCTGCTGCCATTCCCCAGGGTCCCCTGCCATTGATGGAGTAGCAGTTTTGGGTGGTCAGTTTAGCAAGCTGCAGTGAAAGGGCGAATGCAGGAAAGACCCGTTCTGCTATCAGACAATTTAGTCTGGATCCAACCCAATGTCTGATGCTGTAGGACCCAAAACTTGCCAATGCTTAGAATGCACCGCTGCAGTTTTTTAAGACATATTTTTGTGCAGTTTCCAAATACAATAATCTACCTGTTTATGTAGTACAAAACTGCCAACTGGTATCAGAAATGGCAAGGGGGGGTCACTTACAAATACAAATCATATACAAATATCATAGACAGATTTTAAGCTGACTTCCACATAGCAGAATTTGTAATTGCTGCTTCCACACAGCAACTTTCACTCCTGTTTTGTGTCTCAAATGAAGCCCCAATGCCAGACAGCTGTGCTTGCAAAAAAAGAAGGCAGAGCAGGTGTGATTCCGCACTAATGGTTTACTTTCCATTCTTTTATACCCTGCTTTTCACTACCCGAAGGAGTCTCAGAGCAGCTTACAATCGCCTTCCCCTCCTCTCCCCACGACAGAAACCCTGTGAGCCAGTTTGGTGTAGTGGTTAAGTGCATGGACTCTAATCTGGGAGAACCGGGTTTGATTCCCCACTCCTCCACTTGCACCTGCTGATGTGACCTTGGGTCAGGCACAAGCTCTGGCACAGCTGTCATTAAAAAAGAGCAGTTTCTGTCAGAGTTCTCTCAGCCCCGCCTACCTCACAGGGTGTCTGTTGTGGGGAGGGGAAGGGAAAGGAGTTTGTAAGCTGCTCTGAGACTCCTTTGGGTACTGAAGGGCGGGGTATAAAGCCAATCTCTCTTCTTCTTCTTCTTCACACATGCATGGTTGCATTGTGGCACATCCACCCAATAAAACAGCCATGGATTACGCATGAGTAGTTTGCACATGCGTGGTTGTGTTAAAACGCAACTGGTCCGCGATTGGTCCGTTTAATGTTTTTGAACTGGAATGCCCGTGAAAAGAGGAAATCCACCGAAACAGCTGTTGCTTTCGCATGAGTGGTTAGTGCATGTGTGGTTGTGTGGTTGCACTGTAACACAATCGCGATTGGTACCTTTAATTTTTTGAACCTCAATGCGGAAACTCCATTGAAGATAGGTGCCACCAGCAACCTTCGCTGCCATCATGTCTTCTAGGCGAGTGAGAGCGCTAGGAGTTATCCTGTCCCTGTTACAGGTGATAACGCTCAGCCTGACTTCCTCCCTCAATGTGTTTTTTGCTGTTATGAGAATATTGCATCTGAGAAGAAGGTATCTCTGTGATCTGCAGTCTTCTGCCTCAGAATGTGTGATCTAAACCATCATTTATCAGCATCTCGTCGCC